CCACCAACGTCCTGCTGCTGCCAGGGGGGTCATGGGCGCTGCAGAGAGCCCAGGCCGTGCCCCCGCTGCAGAGGAAGGGGAAACCCCCCAGCGCGTGGGGAGCAGCATGGCAGTGCGTGGCCGGAGCAGCGATGGACGCTGGAGCAACGCGGGACCGTGCACAGCCGCTATCTCAGCCGTGGCACTGGGGAGGAGGTTAGGCCCAGCTCTACAGCCTTGGAGCCAGGCTGATGAACGGCCCGGCGCTGCCTATCCTTCTTCTTCCCCCGGCGCCGGAATCGATGGAGGGAAAAGGTGAATTGCTATCGACCCTCCCGGCGAGTCAACGAGGGCAGACAAATGGCAGGGGCGCGGGGGGACCGATGCCAGCTGCTCCCTTTGCAACCTCCCGCCCCTCATGCAAGGGGAGATGCAGCAGGGTTGCTTCACGCCGGGTGGGGGGCACCGCGATGGGCACCAGCATCTACTGCCAGGGCTTGCTAGGGGGAGAGGGGTGCCGTGCTGTCCCGGGAGGTCCCTGTCGTGGGGCCGGGGCGACCCCCAAGACGCAGCCGGGGCTGGGCACGGAGCAGCCGCCCAGCTCGGGGCAGGGGTAGAGGCCCCCGGGTGGGGGAGCGTCCCCCCCCCCCCGGCCGCGGCAGGGGAGTGCTGACACAGCCGGGAACACGGCACCGGCACACCTGGACTCATTACCTCGCTCACCGGTTGCCATGGAGACCAAGGCTTCTGCAACCTGGCACTGGCGGCACGGAGCCGGGCCGAGGAACCGGGGCAGGAGGGGACAGGGGCGGGGGGGGTGGGACTGGGGGCCACAGGCAGGAGACCCACCCCAGCTGGCGTGGCAGGCCCTGAGGATACGTGGGTCGTGGGCAGCCCTGATGGGCGAGCACGGTTTGGGGGGTCCGGCAAGATGGGGGTGCAGGGAGCCCGCAGGCACTAGCTGCCAGGGATGAACCGGCAGCCCCCAAGACGGAGGCACGGCCCCCCCCAGCGCTCTGCAGGATGCCCCCCTGCCACCCCAGATGCTTGGGGTCTGCACCCCCGCTGCCTGTCGCACGCCCCGGCTCTGCACCCAGGACCCGGGAGCCGCT